GGGGGGGGGGGGGTCTGCCAGGCACACGCAGGGGGTCTCTGCTGCTCCTGGCCTTCGCAGCAGCCTGTGCTGCCTCTCTGGTGGGGAGAGGGTGGACTGTGTCCGGGGGGGGTGTCACTAGCAGTGGGGGTCCTTTCATGGAAATTCTGTTGACTTCACTCAAATTCTGTTTAGTTTCTGTAAAATGTGGGGCACTGTGCCATGTTCTCCATCATGACTATATATTTTAGCAAAAGGGTCAAACACGACTGTTGCTAGATACGTTTCCTCCTCTTCCCCCTCCTTCTGCGTGTGCCTGGGCGCTTGCTTTCAGGTCTGTTACTGCATGTGACCAACTAGTGGTGATTTTCTTGGCCTAGAAGAGGTGACCTTAGGTCCAAGTGTGCCTGGTGTTTGAATCCCAGACTGCCCAGCTCCTTCAGCCATGAGTGGTCCTGCATGGATCTAGGTTGCCATTTGCTCTATTCACTTTCTGATTGGGTTTCTTTCCAGGTTTTGAAGGCTGTTCCATGGTTCCCACCATTTATCCCCTGGAGACCCTGCACAACTCCCTCTCTTTGCGACAGGTCAACGAGTTCCTGACAGCTGTGTGCAGGAGCTGCAGCGAATCGCATGTCCAGTCTACCGCAGGTACTGGTGAGGTGGGCTTGTCTCTGGGTCAGCCAGAACAGGGTTGAGGCCAGGAGGCCTTTTGGTCTCTTACGTTGTTGGGACAGAACGTAGGCTAGAAGAAGGACCGGCAAGAAATGCAGTCTCTGAAACCTGTTCCAGGGTGTCCTAGCTCCAGAGTGAGCTATGGGATCAGGGCCACCCTAGGCCACTTACTTGAGAGACAAGTAATCGGCCAGGTCTGTCTGTGGCTGGTAAGTTTGGTGATGTGGATACAAACACCAGCTTGGGAAATCTTAGCCTCATATTCCCAGGAGCTGAGGGACAGGCATGGCTCTGAATTTAGCCTGTTTTTGAGCTCTTCCTGGAGTGCCTGCTTGTGGCTGCTGGGCTACAAGCCATTCCTTTATGTCTGTCTGAATATTGCTGATCTGTGTATTATTTTTTTTCTTGAAGCTTTGTTTGATTCAATGATTGGCAGCCAGATACCAGGAGACCCCTTTATGTCCCAGCGAATCCTGTCATCATCCTCTTTGCCGTTGCGCCAGCGTTCGGATAAGCCCCCTTGGTGTGAGTGTTCTCCCATCTTGATCAGCGATGGGTATGATGGTGAGGGAGGGAAGTAAAGGATGCCCAAAGGTGGCACTGGTATTCATGCTCAGGGTTTCTGTGCTCTGCCCTTGAAGGAACAGAAATGGAAAGGGGAAATAAGTAAAAGGGAAAGTGGCTGTATGCCCTGTGAAAAGGCTTTCAAAGAAAGATGCAAAAAGGGACTCTGTAGTATTGTATATTGTGGGGACAGCTGCTGTTGGAGGGACGCTGTCTCTCCAGACATCCTCTTGTGCACTAGGACATGGAGGGCCTGAATGCACTTCATTTTCATCTCAAGTCTTGTGATTCTCTGTGACACGTGGCTCATTGCTGGTGTGTGGAAATGCCTTTCTTTCCTAGCCAGGCTGTACATGCCTCAACCAGAGTTCCATACAGGAGAGGCAATCAGTTAGTTCTTCACTTAGTGGCTTTTCTGCAGCCCCTGGGCCTCACTTGTCATAGTCTCTGCAGAGCTGGTGACTGTTGTTAGTCCCCTTTGCAGATCTGACTAGAGCTCAAAGGGGAAGAGATAGCCAGCAGATGCACAGCAAGCACTATGATAACACAAGTCAAGGTTGCCACTGGAAGCTCAGTCCTGCTGTTCTCCTGGCTCTGTGCTCCTTGTGCTGGCAGCAGCGTGTGTCTGTGGACAGCAAGGTCAGGGAACTGATCTGACTGAAAACAGTTGTTTAATCCTTCTCCCTTTATTGGATTAGATATAATCTAGATCTGTTCTCTAGTTTTGCTCGTTGTACAATGTAAGGCAAGAATAAGCATTAGTGGAGAAGCTATATTTCTCCTTCCCATGGTGATGCTAGCTCAACATTCAGGGACTGTGTGTGTCAGGAACCATGAGCAGCAAAGTTGAAGCTGAGAGTGTTCCATAATAAAGAAGAAATGAAAGAAACTGCTTTACAGCTCAAAGCCCAACATTCCATTTAACGTTTTGCTCTATAGTGACAGCAGAACCCAAGAGCAACAGCAAGCCCCTGCCAGGTTCATGGCATGTAGATGATCCTCACCCATGGGCTGTAGAACTGTGGGACTGCAACAGCTTGGGTCTGCCCAGGCTTTGGGCTGGGGAAATACCAAATAAATGTCTAAGATTTTTCTTCCTCTTTGCAGACAGCAGCGGCCCCTCCAGTACTGTCTCCAGTGCAGGCCCATCCTCCCCAACCTCTGTGGACAACTGCGCTCGCTTCAGCTTCTCTGAGAAACTGTCTGTCAGTCCCCCAAAGAGTGAGGAGCAGCTGAGCAGCCAGTCCCCGGAGCACAAGGAGAGGCAGTCTCCATGCCAAGGGCTGGACGTGGAGGTGGGGATGTCTGGATTGTCGGTGGCAGAGCCAGGTACACCAGAGACCCTGACCTGGAATAAGTGCCCAGAGCCAGGCAGGGCCCTGGAGTTGTGCAAGGAGCTGGCGGAGGAGGACTCTTACCCAGAGGAGAAGAGCACGGTGGAGCTGGATGAAGAAGCATCAGCTAGGGAAATGTTAGAGCCCAGTAACAATGGGAACCCAAAGCGGGGTGCAGGGTGTGATATAAGGCTGGTAGGGGAGAGGGTGAAGCCAGGGGAGGGGTACTCAGGGGGAATGACTGGTCTGGATCAGTCCGGGCTGTTCAAGGAGACCTTGGTGCCCTGTGAAGAGGAGCTGCTGGAAGAGATGTTGGATCCAGAGCATACAGGCAAGGAGGTGCTGGGGGACAGTGGTCTCTCAGGCCAGCTTCTGTCTGGTCACCCGTGCCAGGAGCAGCCACTGCCTCCTGAGAAAAGCATGGAGGAGCTGCCACCGCTGTGTCAGGAGGCTCAGCAGAATTAGCAGCTCACTGGACAGCACGCTGCAAGCGCTTCTAGCCTGGAGGCTTCCTGCACAGCACCTCATGCAGCTGGCTGTCTGCAGCACAGAACAAGCCACGTCCCAAGGCCACAGGACTCTGGGGTGTAGAAGATTCTGCTCTGCTGCTCCACAAGCCAGCTCTTTGCCATTTGGCAAGAAACAATGCTCCATCTGCCTTGTTAAATGAACAACAAATGCAGTCTTGGTACTGGCACGGCACCTCCATGGAGCGGGGACATGATGTCCCAAGGGCTGTGTGCTCGCCGGGACAGCAGAGTTAGAGGATTGGTACAGTCAAGGCTTTTGGGGTGGTAAGTCCAAAGGGGACAGATGCTGCCTTGAGATTTTTTTGGCCCATAGCCTTTAGGGAAAGGCATTCTGGGCCCAAAGTAAGCAAATCCATCACAACCACCAACCTCCTCTCTGTTCCTTTCTTCCTCCTCTCTCAATTCCCACCTCTGACCAGCAAAAACAGGTCCAGCAAGTCCATGGCAGGAAGACTAGGAGAAGCAGAAACCATTCTGGATGAGTGTGGGAAGGAGAGTAAAAAGGGGATCAGGTTCAAGACTGCCACTTGCAAGAAAACGTCTGTTTGGCGTGGACTTGAGCGCTTTCCTGCTGGGCTGAGGCAGAGAGGTGGGCAGGGAGGACACACGGGTGTTTTTTCTAGTCCCCAAGCGTCAGGTGGGGTACAGCTCTGAAGTCTTGGTGACAGAAATGGAACGAAACTGCTATTTGAACAAATCAGGATTATTAGAAACCAATAAGGAGAAATCTTTATTATATATCAAATGAAAAGTATTTAATACCTATTTATGTAAATGACTTGTGAGCACAAGCCTGAGGGCAAGATTGACACGAATGTCCCTGCTGCATCCTGAGTGCAGGCCAGGGCTGTGCCTCCTGCGCCTCCTGTATTTATGGACAAGTCTGCGTGTCTGTCTGTAGCTAGGTTCCATGTTTTTGTGAAGCTGTGCCCAAAGATCTCTGCGCTGTGTTGTGACAATGTGTGTTCACAGTAAATCTATGCTGTGGGTCTGGCATCTCTCTGTCCCTGCAGTCTGTGTGCCAGGGCCGGCAGGGGCCCGGGACAGCAGGCCCTGCTCCTTCTCCACCCTCCTGGAGGAGAAACTGTGGCTGAAATCACAACTGGAGTGAATGCACAGGCGTGGGCCCTTGCTCACGAAGGCCAGGCACCTCTATTCTCCTCCACAGAAGAACTGGCCATACTGGGAAGAGGTCCTGGCTTCTTGAGTCCTGGGGTGGTTTGTGGTAGAACGAAGGTGCTGGGGCAGCGTCTTTGGCTCCCTTCTCTTGGCCCACACCTTCTATTCGTTTCCAAGCACATCCTGGGTACCACAGCCTCTTCTGTCTGGTACTCCCTGCCTGCCAGGCTGGGTGTTTAGGAAAGGTCCTGTTTCCCTGTAGCTGAAGCGCAGTGGTGGTACAGCTGCCTTGGGTGGGGGGAGGCCTGGCATGCCCTCCCACCCCCCCATCCCCCAGCTGACTCTGGTGAGGGGGCATGTGGAGTGCTGGGGTGGCCTCCCCCTGCCCTGTGGGGAGCCTCTGCCTTCCATTGCAGCCCTGCATTGAGGATCAGGGGGAAACATTACCTGGCGGGTGCTTATGGGGCCTGCAGCATGCCCTGCCCCAAGAGCTGCCTGCGGGGATGGAGGCAGGGCAGCCTCCGGTCCTGCTCGCACCCCTCTGGCAATGCCAGTGCCCTGATCCTAACGGTCTGCCCGCCGCCTCCCGGGGCCAGTACTGCCTGGCACCCATCGCTTCCCGGGGCCAGTACTGCCTGGCACCCACCGCTTCCTGGGGCTGGTGCTGCCTGGCACCCGCCGCCCAGCAGCAGGGCCCCAGCCAGGCACTAGAGCTGCGTCTCCTGCCAGGATTCGGGTGTTTCTGTTTGGGGAAGGCAGTGTCCACCCCTGAACCCGTGGAGTGGAGGTGGTGGCCCAGGCCTGGGCAGGGTGGTTGCCGCAATGGACCTGCTGCAGGCTGTCCCTGCTGCAGGCTGTCCCTGCTGCAGGCTGTCCCTGCTGCAGAGTGGTGACTTGTGGCTGGTTGTGCTTATGTTGCGGAAGCGAATGTTCTGAACTCAAAGGCAGGTGTTGTCCCACAGCCAGCCAAGAAGAAAGCTGAGCTGCCTGCAGTGCTGCAAGAACTGGGCCCTAGTCTGTGGCTTTTCTCTGCAATACAGGCCAAGAAGAGATGGTGTCCTTTATTTTAATAGCTGCCTCTGTCAAGAAGTTTGTGGTCTTTCATGATGCTCTAACGCTTCCAAATGAACACCTGCAGAGTGTGTTGTGACATCTGAGCACTGACCGTCTGCTCTTATGTGGTGTCTTCACCCTGTTTTTCTTGGCTTACCAGCAGCAGCGATTAATGACAAAGCCCTTTCCAAACAGAAGGGTGATGTAAGGAAGTTCTGTGAGTCACAAAGGAGGGGGAAAAGAAAAGGGCAATTGCACAATTTCTGGATACAGTGGCAGGAGTCAACATTTTTGGCTTAATCCTGCCAAAGCCAGTTCTGGCTCCTCAAATCTATGCTGATGCATAAGCTGCGCTTTCTAACGCTTTCAGGTTGCGTAAGTAGTGATATGCACAAATGGCTGCTGCGTGGTCCTGCGTCTCTGGATGGGTGTAGACTTTGCAGCTGGGATGGTTTGGATCAGGCTTGTCAAATCCCTGGCAGATGCAGCTAAGCAAAACTCTTGTCCTGAATTGTTGTCCTGTGGCAGAACGGGCAGGAAAGTGTCTATACCAAGTAGCGTGAGTGTGGCAATGTCCCATGTGGGCTATGGGCAGTGACAGGGCCCCGTCCGTCAGCACATGTGAGCCATGGCAGTGGAGCTGGAGGCTCTGGCAGGTTGCAGAGCGTGTGCAGGCTCCGGGCCTTTGGCTGGTGAGGTCCGGGCAGCCCTGACTGTGGGAACAAGACCAAACTCAGCATTGCTGCTATTGCCTCCCACACTCCTCTGGCTCTGCAGTTTGCAAATACTGATGTAACTGATTAAGGGAAGGCATTTCATTGCCTTACTGGGATCTGTCTTTGGCTTATCTGTTTGTCTGGAGTGGTGACTTGTGGCTGGTTGTGCTTATGTTGCGGAAGCGAATGTTCTGAACTCAAAGGCAGGTGTTGTCCCACAGCCAGCCAAGAAGAAAGCTGAGCTGCCTGCAGTGCTGCAAGAACTGGGCCCTAGTCTGTGGCTTTTCTCTGCAATACAGGCCAAGAAGAGATGGTGTCCTTTATTTTAATAGCTGCCTCTGTCAAGAAGTTTGTGGTCTTTCATGATGCTCTAACGCTTCCAAATGAACACCTGCAGAGTGTGTTGTGACATCTGAGCACTGACCGTCTGCTCTTATGTGGTGTCTTCACCCTGTTTTTCTTGGCTTACCAGCAGCAGCGATTAATGACAAAGCCCTTTCCAAACAGAAGGGTGATGTAAGGAAGTTCTGTGAGTCACAAAGGAGGGGGAAAAGAAAAGGGCAATTGCACAATTTCTGGATACAGTGGCAGGAGTCAACATTTTTGGCTTAATCCTGCCAAAGCCAGTTCTGGCTCCTCAAATCTATGCTGATGCATAAGCTGCGCTTTCTAACGCTTTCAGGTTGCGTAAGTAGTGATATGCACAAATGGCTGCTGCGTGGTCCTGCGTCTCTGGATGGGTGTAGACTTTGCAGCTGGGATGGTTTGGATCAGGCTTGTCAAATCCCTGGCAGATGCAGCTAAGCAAAACTCTTGTCCTGAATTGTTGTCCTGTGGCAGAACGGGCAGGAAAGTGTCTATACCAAGTAGCGTGAGTGTGGCAATGTCCCATGTGGGCTATGGGCAGTGACAGGGCCCCGTCCGTCAGCACATGTGAGCCATGGCAGTGGAGCTGGAGGCTCTGGCAGGTTGCAGAGCGTGTGCAGGCTCCGGGCCTTTGGCTGGTGAGGTCCGGGCAGCCCTGACTGTGGGAACAAGACCAAACTCAGCATTGCTGCTATTGCCTCCCACACTCCTCTGGCTCTGCAGTTTGCAAATACTGATGTAACTGATTAAGGGAAGGCATTTCATTGCCTTACTGGGATCTGTCTTTGGCTTATCTGTTTGTCTGGTGTCTCAGCGCTATGCCACTTCCCCACAAATTACTAACCCTTATTTCTCCAAGTGCTGTGCAGCAAGTGATGGGCACAGCTGGTTTCTGTCCCTGCTGTGAGAGTCCCATTCCCCCCTCCTCCTGTCCAGTGCTGCCCGCCCTGTTTGCTAGCCACGGGGGAGCAATAGGCCTGGAGTATGAAAGACTGCTGCTTCCCTCTTCCTGTTTGAGTGAAGTCCAGCCGGTCCCTGAACTGTAGCCCTGCAAAAGCCAAGGCCTGCTTTGGTGGCCTGGGCTGATCCAGTTCCTCCTTGTAGATACCTTCCCATGGATCAGCACTGGTGCTTCTATCCAGGTCTCACAGGCACTTAAAAGCTCCCCAGCCTCAGTGTGCTTGTACTGGAGGGGCATTGCTTCCTCAGGACACGCTTACGTGGCTTACACCACTGCCCTGCATGCTGCTGCTTGTGTCTTCTGCTACAGTAACCTGATTTTGCCTTCCTCCTCCTGTGGAACAGCCTGTGGTAGGTGTGCTCATCACAGCCCGCGTGGTCCATCTTGGCAGACGACCTGGAGCTCTGCTCTTGGGATAGTCTGAGCTGGCCCTCAGACCCTCAGATGGGGAAATGTACAGTCACAGCCTCTTCGTTGGCAGGAGCCTGGCCATATCCACATACTTGTTTACCTAGCATCTGTGGAAATAGTTGGCGTTTGGGGTCCCTCCCCTGGCAGTAACAGCTTTGGCAGCTGCCCTGAGCTCTCCATTGCAGCTGCACGAGCTGTAGTTTGCTCTGTGGCCACGATGGCTGCTCTTCTGAGGGTCTCGGCCCAGCACTACTTTCCTTCTCCCTTGTGTTTCCTCCCATGGCCACCCAGGCAGGAGCAGGGCTGAGGGGCATCTGCACTGGCAGAGTGGTGGCTGCAGCCCTAGATTGCTGCTGAGTAGCTAAAGGAGCTGAAATAAAGTGCCTTTCCCATGGGAGGTGGGTTTGGAGGGTTCCACAGGGGTGCCAAGGCTCATGGTTGCCACAGGGGGAGCGTGTGGTGGCCAGCTGGTGGCTGCCTGGCATCAGGCCAAGTGCTCCAGCCCTCTGCCTCCATGGCACCAGCTGCAGGTGGAGCCTCAGCACTGGCCAGAGTGGCCATTCCTGAGCAGCACAGGGACAGACAGAGAGCCATGATGGAGAGCGTGATCCAGGAACTGTGAGGAGCTGCGATGTTGGCAGGACAGGCCATGCCGGGCTCCACACCAGAGCAGGGGGGCTGTGTCCCCCCAGCCATGCCAGGGCCCAAAGCTTCCTCTGGTGGGGAGGAACTGGAGCTGTGAAGGTCCCTGCTGGGGAGAGAGTTCCAGGCGGGGTCCGAGCACCTCAGGCACCCATCCCTTCCCTTTGAGCAGCTGTGGGTGACGAGGTGGTGTCGGTGGGGAAGCTGGGGAGAGAAGGCATGGTGGCCGTGTCTGTGTCACCCCTGCCCGCAGTATGGACATACCCAAAGAAAGGCTTGAAACAGTTGGAAGTGTTCTTATTCGCAATTAATGTGGCTTTATTATTAATGTGTTGGGCTCCTCTCTTGACAGCAGTTAGTTACAGTGTGTTTCACATGGAAATGGGAAAAGGACAGAACTCAAGGAACTAAATTCAAAGAGAAACATGATGCTGAAGAAAAGAATCAGGGCTCTGTTCTTAAAACATTTAGCATAGAAGAAGCTAGGAGCACAAGTTGCCATTTCAATACAGTTAAGACGTTCACTTTTTTAATTAATTATAGGTTTAAAATAGTATTTTGTACCTATTACATACAGGAAGATTACGCGTTGTTGCCCACATGCAGAAACAAGCAAAAGCAGAGTTTAACTGTTTCTCTCTATAGTGTTGTATTACCTCTGGCTCTGGATGGGTTCGGCTGGCTCCTGCAGGCGAAGCAGGATCCGACTCTTTACAAATTGGCATTTT